AAGAGCCTTTTTTTTTTTTTTTCCTTAATGGACGATCACAACAAAACAAAACAAAAACTTTGGGAGTAATTCCAATGTTTAAATACTGCTAGGGTGTTCAGATCCCTTACTATAGTTCCTTGAGGCTGGAGTGAACAGGGTTAGGCAGGAAGTGGCCATGGATGAGGCAGGAGAGGGATACGGTGGCCAGTTATAAATGGCCTGGAATACCACATTAAGAAGTATATTTTGAGGAGCGGCAGCGGCGAATCACTAAAGGATTTCAGGCAGGGACATGATGTTAATAAAATTTGTACTCTAGAAAGCTAGCTTGCTCGAGTTGCATTGTGAGAAGGGCTGGTGGTGGGGATTAGGGGACAAGACCGGAGGCAAGGAAGCTAGTTAGGAGGCCACTGTGTCAATCTCGGCAAAGGAAGACAGCGACTTCCGGAAGGAGCGGTGGAGGACGGAAGTAAGGCACTGGATAATTGACTTGATACAGGGATGAGGGAGAGGGAAGAGTTAAGACAGATCCCACATTTCTAGCTTGTGTAACCAGGAGAACAACAGTGCCAGTCACTGTCACCCAGGAGGAGAAACAGGTTACACGCAGTCATTTGAGGACATGTCGAATTAAAATTGTGAGGACTTCTGGGATAACCAACTAAATCTCTGCCGGAGGCAGTCAGCTGTGCGAAGTGGACAATGCAGAAGAGAAGAGGGTTCTGAGCTGAAGAATCACTCGGTAACTGAGATTATGCGAGTGGACAAGATCATCCAGAGAGAGTGTGTAAAATGAGATGGAAAGAGGGCCTAAGATAAAATGTGGGTTTCACGGACTTTAAGGAACAAGCAGAAAAAGGAACCAGAAAAGGAGAGGCAGGAAGAAAATGAGAATGTAGTATCACAGAAGCCAAAAGAAGACAGTATTTTAAAGAGAAAAAAATGGTCAGCGGTGACTAATACGGTTGGAAGATCCAAAAAGATAAAGATTAAAAATGCCCACCAGATCTATCAACAAAAGTTTGTTAGTGACCTTGGCAAAAAGTTACAGTGGACAGAGTATGTCACTCTACCTCCCACAGAGCTGTTCCCGATCCTTCATAACCTACATTGTTCTTGTCCTTCCCTGAATGCCTCTGCCACAGCCTAGTCCACAACACTCACTCTGGCACTTAATCACACATGGCTTTTTACTATTATTCCGACACTTCACATATGTTGATCCTTCCTTTTCCCGATAGCCCTGTTACTGGAAGTGTGGCCCACGGACCCGTGTGGGTCCACAAAGTGTTTTGTTACCAATCCATGGTAAAGTTAGTACAGAAATAAAGAGTAAGCTTTTAGAAACCTTTAGAGCAATTTAACAGAGCAATTCTGTCTGTTGACAATCTAGCCTTGTATGGTGTATGTTTTAAAATTGTTATTTCTCTGATCATTCACTTCTTTGTATTTTACAAAGGTATTAATCCCATGATGGATTGAAGGGGGAAAAAGGTCCTCAGCAAGAGTTATGTTGAGAAGCACAGCCCTAAAAACCTAGTAAGGGCTATGGATGTAATTAGCACCCAATCATGGGGTGCTGTAGGACTGAACGGATGAATGAAAGAATGAGTTTACCTACGACAGGAAAATAACCAGAACCCAGGGAAGGAAAAGAATCTTTGAAGGTTACCATTATGTGTGCGTGCGTGCGTCTCTCTATATACATATAAAATAAAAAAGATGGGGCTGAGAGATACCAACTGACTAGGTTAGAGTTTATGGAAGCCAAATAATTGACTAACCCAGGTCGTACCGAAAATGTGAAGTAGTGTTAATCAAGGAGAGAGGGCTGGTGACAAGATAATCTTGCAAGCCAGGGTAAAGGGCAGTGCATTCTAGAGAAAACGGTTAGGCGCCGCCCTCTGGCAGGGAGGAGTCACGGGGCGAGGGCTGTGTAAGTCAGGCCACTGCGACTCACTGTGGCCTGCGAGGCTGTGGCAGCACTCAAGGTGGGTGGGTGGGGGGGCCTGTAAGTGGCCCACTGAGGAAACAGGCTTCAGCGTAGTAACTCTTTGGTTAAGTAAAGGAGTTCGCCACACGTTAAGTCTGGAAAATCCTACAAGCCTGAAGAGAATGGGAATACGCTGAGCATCAGACGTTAGAGGAAGAGGACATTCCAATATTTAGGTTGGTGACCTTGGGTTCCCAGCCGTAGGCCCGCAACTTCTTTATCAAAAGTCTCTGAGAAAGTCGGTCGGGCCCTGTGCCGCTACTCACTGGTGTCATGGTGACAAGCGGGGAGGGTCCCCGTGGGCGCTTCAGCAGCTGCTGGGCATGTAGTTGGATGTTGGCTCCTCCATCCGATGCCCTCCGGCCGAGGGGGCCCATTCCATTCAGCAGCTGTAGGGTGGGAGGCTGTAAGAGGGACTGCTCCTGTCGCAAGTACAAGTGGGCAGGACAGAGCGGTGAGAGGGGAAAGGGGGAGGGAGAAAAGACCAGTACTCTGGCCCACTGAAATGAGGGGATCCTTCAAGTACGTACAGACTGATCCTCCCTGTCACCCAAGCTGCTGTGCAAGAGAAATCAGCCTTCGCTATAAGGATACCCTTAAATCCTGGGCGAGGTCCCTCAAAGGCTCTCAGAGGAAGCTCAAATGTGTTTCTCCACGGGGCAAGTCCTCTCCCACATCCAGGTACCTTGTACTCAAGCTGTCCAGTTGGTTGCAAGTTTTGTATGGGCAGCAGGTTGTGCATGAAGTTCATGTTAGTGGCCACCTGCAGGAATGGGGCCTGAGGGTTGACTCCAGGAAAACCAGGCAGGAGCTTCTGCAGGTCTTCCATAACTTCCGTGCTGGAAGGAAACAGGATGACAGAGGAGGTGGGTTAATGCTCTTACTCGGATCCCCAAACTGATGACACTACTAAGTTCAGCACAACATATTTTACTTCTCTCCTTTCCTCCTCAATTTGTACTTCTAAGGCCCCAAAGCAAGGAGAAGCCTAGTGTATGGAATCTGGCTCTCTGCCATTCTACTGTTAGGGACTGGGGCTTGCTATTCTTCATTGACCTCTCATGTACAACCAATAGCTTTGAGCCAAGAGGAAATAGTGGCACCGGTCCAGTTCGGGTTTTCAAAGCCTGGAGGTGAACAGCAAGTTTCTGGAGGACACAGACCATCCACTGAAACAATGGCTTCCCGAAGTAGCAACTGATTCACCAGGGAAAGAATGTAATTACTCCTGTCAGTGCCTGATGGGACAGATAAGTAGTGGATGTGCAGGGCTCTCATGCTCCAACAGTGAGGTTTACAGCATGCTTTCAAATAAGAGATCTTTCCACTGACAGAGTGACACAGGACTCCACCCCTCTGCAGCTGACAGTCTTCGTAGCCAGAATGTTCCCCTGTTGCCTGTTTGATCACAGGCCGAGAATGAGAAACGTAAAGCAAGCAATCAGCAGGCCTCGGGAGGCTTTTTTGGAAATCGCTCAGAGGAAAAAGGAATTCATAAGAACACTAGCTTTGCCCCTAATTGAACTCTCAAGAGAACTCTTGCTCTAACCTCCCCTTCCCAACAGAGTAGAGGAAATATCCAGAAAAGAGGTAAGGCTATTTTTAACGTTGAAAGTCTTCAAATGCAGAACAAACACAGACAGAGCCAGCCTTCGGTACATTTCCCCTTGTGAGGGCATCATGTTAAAGGACTGTTTGGGGAAAATGTTTTGGGAAACTGGTACTTATTTGGTATGGTTTTGGATTCTTGTTCACTTAGTTTAATTCTTAACTTACATAAATTACGCCGTATCATTAGTCATCCCTTCCTAGTTGAGTTTTACATTAGAACATGTAGTAAACAACATCTCTGAAAGACGTCAAACTCAGATGAATTTTAAGGGGTACTTTTATTTGACTTAGAGCCAAGTCAATGTGATGACTGTGATGACTCACAGCCATCTGTGAGCCAAGATGCTACCATGCTCTTCACCAAAGTATTGTGATCAATTGACGTGATGACGGCCATCGGCCTACCACGTATCTACCAGGGACACTGAACTGGGTACATACATGTCTTGGCCACTGGATTCGATCTCATCTGGGAAACACAATGAAGCAGGAAAAAGGAACCATGATAGGAACTCAGAGTCAGGGCTGTTGGCCAGATACTCACCGTGGGTCAGCCACACCCACTGTGTGCCTCCTCATTGACAAATAGCGGACCAACGCTTCAGGGGAGGGCTCTTCACCCTCATCACTGTCCAAGTTCAATGTCCCATCCGGCTGTGGTGGAAAGAAATACAATCAAATCAGAAATCAAAAGTAAGTCAAAACAAATAATTAATTAAAAAAGATTTTTAAGCTTATTTATTTATTTTGAGGGAGGGAGGGAGGGACAGAGAGAGAGAGAGAGAGAGAGCGAGCGAGCATGCAGGGAGGGGCAAAGAAAGGGAGAGAGAGAATCCCAAATAGGTTCTGCGCTGTCAGTGTGGAGCCCGATGTGGGGCTGTGAGATTGTGACCTGAGCCAAAACCAAGAGTCAGATGCTTAACCAACTGAGCCACCCACGCGCACCGCAC